GTTAAAAAGTGAAAGATTTATAACACAATCAACTCTTAGCAGTTAAAAGTTAAAAACATTTACATGCTAAGCAAGGTTTATAATAAAGTATCATAATAAATTTAAATACTGCTTATTTATGTATAAGTTGTATACTGTTCTTTTTCAATAGCATATAAATGTCCCGATGTACATTAAATGAAATGAAGCATACGGCGCCTCTTTTTTAGATTTAGATTATCATGGTATTAGCAAAGTTTATTTTTTTATGTTGTGTGAAAATATGTTAATTATTGTGCCAAAATATTCAGTTTTGAACACGTATTGATAATGCATTCCTGTAAGACTTGTGAAATATTAAAACAATTAATTTAATTTCTGTTTAATATCAAAATTTTATATATCACTCAATTATACAAAACATGTAAGCTGTTCAATATCTTATCTACTATGCCTGCTAAGGCAACCTTATCACGTCACTTTTTTATCAACAGTACCTTTTTCAACCTTTTCTGCATTCCTTATTTCGTAGAATGAAAAAAAACTTGTTATAATTATCGTTTACAACACTTATTCATAGATGATAAAAAAGAAAGGAAAATTTGATTTAAGACAGCATGTAATACTGAAAGCCAGTGAAAATTTATACCACTAATACTACATCAAGTACATGAGAAATTCAGTCATTACTTGTTTGTGTCATATGGCAAAGGAGTGTTTGAAGTCAGTTGTCTGGGTATGGATAAACCTGAAATTTAGTTACATGTGCAATGATGTGTTCCATCTTTCAGCAGTTTATTTTAGCTATTGAAATTTAGTTACATGTGCAATGATGTGTTCCGTCTTTCAGCAGTTTATTTTAGCTACTTGAAATTTAGTTACGTGTGCATGATGTGTTCCATCTTTCAGCAGTTTATTTTAGCTACTTGAAATTTAGTTACGTGTGCAATGATGTGTTCCATCTTTCAGCAGTTTATTTTAGCTACTTGAAATTTAGTTACATGTGCAGTGATTTGTTCTATCTTTCAGCGGTTTATTTTAGCTACTTGAAATTTAGTTACGTGTGCAGTGATTTGTTCCATCTTTCAGCGGTTTATTTTAGCTACTTGAAATTTAGTTACGTGTGCAATGATGTGTTCCATCTTTCAGCAGTTTATTTTAGCTACTTGAAACTTAGTTACGTGTGCAATGATGTGTTCCATCTTTCAGCAGTTTATTTTAGCTACTTAAAATTTAGTTACGTGTGCAATGATGTGTTCCATCTTTCAGCAGTTTATTTTAGCTACTTAAAATTTAATTACATGTGCAATGATGTGTTCCATCTTTCAGCGGTTTATTTTAGCTACTTGAAATTTAGTTACATGTGCAATGATTTGTTCCATCTTTCAGCAGTTTATTTTAGCTCTGGAACTTTAATTTTGGTTTTAGGCCAAATTTTAATGGATAAGTTCCTAGCAGATAAAACTCTAAGATTAAGTGTAAACTTATTTAAAATTTTTGCATTTTGTACACATCTTTTCCAATTATAAAATGTCTGAAAATGTTTCCATCCTTTTAGTGCCTTATATACTGAGTCATACCTTTGAACCAACAGCATAATACCACCTGACACATGTAATTTGTTTTAAAAAATGTGTTTTATAAAAAGATAAATCAAAATGAATTATTCAAAGGTGAATCAGCAGTATGTAAGTGTTGAGTGATAGCTATTGGAATACATCGGTAACTCACCGAGACTGACCTCCAGTTTTGAGGTGTTGGGTCTAATTTTTTTTCATAGGTTAGAAACTACAGCACAAGGAAGTTAAAATGGATTTTGTTCTGCATTGTTATATAATTATCATAGATATATTAGTAGGTTGCAAAAATTGATTGCATGCTTAGAAAACAAATAACAGAAATATGTCAATTAGAATTTTATTTGCTTAAGTTTTATAATGTAAATAGCTGTGTGATGTCAGGTAGGCTAATAAATTTAAAAATGTAGAAGCCATTTCCTTTCCATGAGCGACCATGGACTGTGAATGGTGTTAAAATACAGGTCATTATGGGTTTAATGCACTCTGATTTTTTAATTTTATGTCATTTCTGATGGTTATAATTTTGCATCTGAAAAGTGAAATTATCTGATAGACTGAGTATTCCATTACTTTTTTTTGTGTGTGTGGTGGGGGGGGGTGATATTACTGCAGGTAATTCACTTTAGATATAATACAGTATACATATGTGATTAATTAATAACATAAACATTAACCAAGTTAAACTTTAAATTGGCTTTTTACTTTTTTATTGCCATTTTTCAGCACTCTTACTGAAGCTTTCATTGGACAACTGAACATCGTGCCTTGTACGCTTTTATAATTGTAGAATAATAAAACTTAGCACCTGAAAGTTGTGTGATGTAACTCTCCAGGAAGAGGTTAATCTTTAGCACCATCTGCATTTGCAAATTACCTCACTTCAAGAAGAGGAATTGCTCTCAACCTCTTTAAACAAAGACCAAGGTGGTCAGATATGCAGCCTATTATAGATCATGAACAAACCCTTGTTGAGTCAAATAAAATGGGATAACTAGCCAAAAACATTCTAGCTATTAGTTTTTAATCATGCAAACACAGCTCATCCACTAGGGACAGGGTATGAAATTGTGATATAATCAAGAATATAGACATGTTCATGATAGTTATGTAAATTTTGTTGAAAAACAATTTATTTAGCCAGTTTTTTTTCTCACTTTTCAAGTTTGTGATAGTCCATAATGAATGTAATAACTTAAAAAGGTCTTGTTGGGAAAATTCACTTCACGTAATCAGTAAATGGTAATTTAGCTAATTTCATGATGTCTTTCTTTTCTGATGTGTGTGTGTAATAATTGTTTTGTTGACTGTGCATTTGAAACTTATTGAATGAAAAACTGCTTATTAGAACATGAAGGATTTGTATAACAATCCTCATGTTCAGATTGGTGTGTAAGATGTCCCAGCCTTACAACTGTTCAAAATTTGATCAGCATCTTTGACTAAAAACAAAACTTTTACACTACGGGCTAGCTGTTGGTCCCTGCATTAAATACAGCATGCTTAATTGATGAATGTTCACTACATTGAATATTGGAATTAAATGTTCATTTGTAAATATTGATTCAAGTTTCCTAATGCCACAATTACATTAACATGTAATAATCACTAAAAGCATTTTGAATAAGTAATGAAGATTTTCTACATTATTTCATGTAGATAATTATACTCATTCAACATGTCTAAATTATATGTTTTATTTATCATTACACCAACAAAAGTTTTCCTATATTGAACTTACACTTTTAATAAAAAAATTATTATAATAATCACAAGTACAAAAAAATGTGTTTTACTATGCTTTCTTCTTGGTTTTTCATAAGTATAACATGTTATAGAGAAATTGGTCATTTTTATCACTCTCAGTCATAGTAGTTTCTAAATAGTTCAACTGTATGTTTTCCTTTACAGAATATTTCCTTTGTTTTAGATGTTCAACTTGTGTCTTCCGAAATGCATACCTAAAAATAACAGTAGATAGTTGATTACATGAATGTTTTAACACCTAAACAGGGGACGTTTTATGCTATCCTACAGTCAACAAAACTTTCAGTCTAAGTAACAAAAATGTATAAGGTAAAATATACAAGTACAAATATTACTTGTCAGTTAGTGATAAACTTCAACAATAAATAACAGTAGATAGTTGATTACATGAATGTTTTAACATCTAAACAGAGGACGTTTTATGCTACTCTACAGTCAACAAAACTTTCAGTCTAAGTAACAAAAATGTATAAGGTAAAATATACAAGTACAAATATTACTTGTCAGTTAGTGATAAACTTCAACAATAAATAACAGTAGATAGTTGATTACATGAATGTTTTAACACCTAAACAGAGGACGTTTTATGCTACCCTACAGTCAACAAAACTTGCAGTCCAAGTAACAAAAATAGAATAAGATAAAATATACAAGTACAAATATTACTTGTCAGTCAGTGATAAACTTCAACAATATATCATGTAAGTTTATAAAATGCATACTTATGTTCTTAAGTTGAGTAGGATGTTTGAATGAATGTATAATTACAGTTCCTTCTTTTATATACGTCTTTATACTGCGTTTTCCTTCAGGAAAAATGTTAATGAAATAAAACCATACCAAAAACAAGAATTTAAGTATGGTCTAAGTGTGTTCAGTAGATTATCACTTATCCAGAAAGATCACAGCAAAAAGAGTGTATCATGATTAGTGTCAATCTGCCCCTAGAGACTACTGATACGCTTGAATGTAGTGTTATGTTAAAGCAGCAAGCTAAAGAAAAGAAGATTGGTCTGATCGTATGAACAGTAACACGTGCTGTTTCAGGTTGACACGAACATGGTTTATTATAATTAATAAACTTTATGTGATGAAAAGGCTTAATTTTGCACAAATTTATTACATATTTTCACCAATTTTATTATTATACGTGTGTATAACACTTTCTCTTCAGTAAAATCCTTTGCAATGCATAAGACTCTTTTTTTTTAATCAATATATTGGATAAAAACTTGTATGAGCATATAATAGATATCAATCAGTTAAGAATTATGTGATATATAATGATGAATGCTCAAACACAGCTAATAATGTCCATTAAGTCAACTACAAGGCTAAAAGAAGTAAATGTCATTTTTTAAATTATTTAAATCCTTTACTTGTCTCAAAGGTCACATTTCCTCTAGACGATATGCCTATTTTTCTTAGGTCCCAGCTGTTGGCTGGTACTAATTTTACAGCTGGGCAGATTGAAGCACATTTTAGGTAAAGAGTCTTGTTGATGTAGACTACTGCTAAATGCAGATGATCTTCAAAACCTCAATTTTTAATTACTAGTTCAAAGCACTAACCACTAGGTGATGCTAAGTTCTTGGATAAAAGAGAGTTCTTTTAGTCATTCATTAGAACTAGTTTCATTATAAATAGAATAACACATTAACATTCCCAATTTTTAAGGTAATTGTGTCAGACAGAAGTCAAGGATTAGCAGCATTAATGAGCCAAGATGAAGCTGCCCATGTGCATAATGTAGTAAGCCAACAGAATACCACCGAGCAACAGACCATACGTATGGTAGTGAGGCAGCCGGACGGCACAGAAACTGAGCAAACTCTTCCCGTTTCATCATCGGGATCTGGTGGCTCTACACTAGTTACCAGTGATGGTCAGGAGATTCATGTCAGTGATGAAGGAACTCTACAGATGATGGCCAACTTAGCTGACCAGACCTCAGCAGGTGGTGGTGGAGATGGAAACAATCAGGTAAGAGAAAACTGTCTCTTGATTGTGAGATAATTAGAAAAAATGGAAGAGTGTGTAACACGGTAGCAGAAATTATTTATGTGAGAGGGATTTTAAAAAATAAGAACTTTTTCATATGCCATTACAATTTTATGCTGCTTTTTGTTTCATGACTCAGATAAGATACAATATCAGTTTACCTTGTCTCATTCAGAAATGCTTTACTTTTCTGTTAATTTTGTTTTGCAGTTGAATTCTTATGTTTGATTCTTCTACCACTATTGGTCTTCATCTTGTTCTCATTCAAAATGATTGTAACAATGGAAGAAATCTATTGAAACCTGCACGTCACATTGACATACAAATTTAGTCAAAAATACAATATATATATATATATATATATATATATATAT